GGGAGTGGGGCCCTCACCGCAGTTATCTTTACCCTGAAGCTGGCAGGTGTTCCGCTCCCAGTTCCTGCAGATGCGAGAGAAAGAAGTGCCGGACACTCAGGTAAAGCGGTTGTGCATGTTAGGATTTGCTGTGACTTCAGGGTATTTTATAGAATATCGTTTAAGACAAACTTTAAGCCGTGTTCTTTTTTTAATATATGTTTATTGATTTCAGAAGGGAGATAGAAACATCAATGATGAGAGAGAATCATTGATCGGCTACCTCCTGCATGCCTCCTACTGGGGATCGAGCCTGCAACCCGGGCATGTGCCCTTGACTGGAATGGAACCCGGGACCCTTCAGTCCACAGGCCAATGCTCTATCCACTGAGCCAAACCGGCTAGGGGCATTTGGAATGTTGTTTGTTCTTTTCTGAACCATAAAATGCTATTTCCTTAAGGTTTTGTTAGTTGTTTCTTTTTTTGAAATATATTTTATTGATTTTTTTACAGAGAGGAAGGGAGAGGGAGAGGGATAGAGAGTTAGAAACATCCATGAGAGAGAAACATCGATCAGCTGCCTCCTGCACACCCCCTAGTGGGGATGTGCCCTGAAACCAAGGTACATGCCCTTGACTGAAATCGAACCTGGGACCCTTCAGTCGGCAAGCCGACGCTCTAGCCACTGAGCCAAACCAGTCAGGGCTAGTTGTTTCTTTTAATATACACTGAAGGTCTTGAGGCACATAGCTTACTGATTTTTTTGTTTGGGAAAAAGTATGAGTATATACATATGCATGGTTGTATGTAATACATATATGTGTTTATAGTAAATATTCTTACTGTGATATGTATATATGTATATAACTCATTTAATAAGACAAACTCTGAATTTAATCTAAAAGTCAGGCAAATTGGTAGCAGCAGAACAAAATTCAGCCTCCCTTTGCCTATAAATGTTGCTATATATATAGAGAGAGAGAGAGAGAGAGAGAGTTCTTAATATGTGCCAAGCACAATACTAGCAATACTGGGGATAAAAAGATGACCGTGGTGTCTGCCTATATTTGCAGGGTTCAATTGCAGATAATAGACAAGCAATTTGACTTTTTAAAGGTGAGACTTAAAATTAGATTTTTGCTAACCTACTGGACAGGCTGGAGAAGGCAACTCCAGGAATGACCTCCAGAATGACACCTCAGAACTGGTCTGTGAGGGAGCTGCTAGGCTACCTCTGCTGCAGTCAGGAAGCTGAGGTGTGGGCTCGTGAACTGGTAGTTGCCCTGGTCAGAACTGTTGACTCCAGAGCCATGCTCTCTCTCCATATGCAGACTTTTGCTTCATGGCCTCTCAAGTTTGTCTTTCTCTCTGGTGGACCTGATTAGCAGACCCCTGATCATATTTGGACCCCTAGCTGCTAAGGAGTCTGGGAAATGTAATTCTTTTCTGCTAGATTCTGCAATACATGAAGCACAACTGAAAGAGTTTGGAACAGGTGGTTGAACAAGGCACTGTACTGCATCTGCCATACTGCCCCTAAAGAGGAAAGACACTATCTGCCACCTCCAACATGCTTTTGAGTAAATGGGGTCCATGAAGTGAATCAGATTGTGCTAGAAGGGAAGTGGCTGTGTGAAGCCTCCCTCCGGGAGGTGAAGGGATGAGTGGCTGAAGCCAGGGGAATAGGTGAGATCACCCACGTGTGCTTGGACCTCATTCACTGGATGTTCTTCCAGAAACAGGAAAATGGCCTTGCAGCTGAGGATTGGTGTGAAGGTGCGGATGACTGGGGAGGTGACAATGAGGAGGCGCCTTCACCACAGCTTACCTTGGGTTTTGGAAATGATTCGAACAGTGCCAAGGACATAGACTGGACTGCCCAGCTCCAAGACCTCCACCTTCAGGAAACTCACACGAATGCTGCTCTTCCTGTGCCTCCTGGGGAAGGGATGGCCTTGTCTTCTGTGGTGCCACAGTTCCTGCCCCACTACATCTCTGTGGTAGATGAGGATGATTACAGAGACGTTGTCAGTCTAGATCATGCGCATAGTCTTCTCAGGGAATATCAACAACGAGAAGGAATTGATATGGAACAGTTGCTTTCCCAAAGGTGAGAATGTGTGCAGCTGAGGTTAAGAGGTGACTTGATCAGAGAGCTGCCACAGTAGATACCCTTTGGTTTTACCCTAATACATGGGAGAACTTTTTCAGGCAGAACTTGTCTATGTAAGACCTTTTTGCTTCAATTTCTTGAGTTAGCTTGAAAACAGAAGTTAGGGATGCCAACTGCTTACAGAAGAAGATGTGTTCACTATCTCTTTTGTTTTCTCTTTCTAAATGTATAGCTGAGACAGGTAAGTTAGAAAAATGCTATTTATGCCCTGGCCAGTGTGGCTCAGTTGGATGAGCCTCTGTTCTGACATGTAAAATGGAAGTGACTTTGATAAATATTGTCTTATCATCGGATGGTTTTGGGAGTCAAGTGAGAGAGTAGGTCTTGGAGGGCTATATAAACCAAAGCCCTCTAAAGACGTAAGCATGATTATTTTGCTGTTATAATATAACTAGAGGCCCGGTGCACAAAAATTTGTGCGCTCGGGGGGGCGGGGGGTTCCCCAGCCCGGCCTGTGCCCTCTCGCAGTCTGAGACCCCTCGGGAGATAACGACATGCTGGCTTAGGCCTGCTCCCGGGTGGCAGAGGGCAGGCCCAATCCCTAAGTGCAGCCCCTGGTCAGGCTCAGAGCAGGGCCGATTGGGGAGTTGGGGCGCCGCCCCGTCATGCACAGAGCAGGGCGGATCAGGAGGTTGC